TTCAATGCTTGCGTTCTGTCCCTGCTGTTGTATGGCTCTGAGTGCTGGACGCCCCTTCAGCATGACCTGCAGAAGCTCTCAACCTTCAGCATGAGGTGCATCCGATCCATCCTCGGGGTCTCTCGAAGCCGGATGTGGGACGAACACATCACCAACGAAGAGCTGCTGGTGCGCTGGGGAGACTCCGAGACGATTAAAGACAAGATTGCACATCGGCGGTTGGAGTGGTTGGGGCATGTGGCGCGGATGCCGGACAACCGCATCCCAAAACAGGTACTGTTTGGCTCCTTCTTGCAGCGTCGCCCAGCACATGGCCCACGCCGCAGATGGAAGGACTGCGCTGTCCGAGATCTACGTGCCCGTGGCGTGGAGGCATCATGGTATGATGTTGCATGTGAGTCTCGCGCGGAGTGGCGCAGCACCTACCAAGAGCCTGACAATGTGCCTGAGCCTCCGCCCCGAGTGGTATGTACGGTATGCGGACGGGATTTTGCACGGAAAGGAGACATGGCTCGGCATAAGTGTCTGGAGGAGCGTGCGCGGCCTGTGTCTGAGCAGCGGGGCGCCAGTCAGTGCGGGCGGTGTGGGCGGTGGCTGAGAAGCCGCGGTGGCTTGGTCCGGCATGTGTGTGCCTCAACGGTGGATGCCGCAGTGCCACCTGGAACTACCGGAGCGTCGGCACCGGCGAAGGGATGTTGTGCCGCGCATTGTGACAGGTGTGGTCGCTGCTTTCGCGGTGTCCGGGGACGGGGAAGGCATCGCTGTTCAAGGGTGGCTCATAGACCAACAGCAGAGGAGCGCTCAGCCTTCCAGCACGTGTGCATATGCGGCAAGCGGATGCGACTACCCGTGCACCTGGAGCGTCATCGAGCGTCGTGTCCTCTCTCTCTCTCTTCTCAAGTTTCCCAGTGATGGGATCACGTGACCCTTTTGCGGCAGTGACTCTACAGGACAGGGACAGGTGTGTGTGTTTGTGTGTGTGTGTGTGTGTGTGTGTGTGTGTGTATGTGTGTGTGCACATGTGTGTACATGTATGTTTGTGTGTGTGTGTGTGTGTGTGTGTGTGTGTGTGTGTGTGTGTGTGTGTGTGTGTGTGTGTGTGTGTGTGTGTGTGTGTGTGTGTGTGTGTGTGTGTGTGTGTGTGTGTGTGTGTGTGTGTGTGTGTGTGTGTGTGTGTGTGTGTGTGTGTGTGTGTGTGTGTGTGTGTGTGTGTGTGTGTGTGTGTGTGTGTGTGTGTGTGTGTGTGTGTGTGTGTGTGTGTGTGTGTGTGTGTGTGTGTGTGTGTGTGTGTGTGTGTGTGTGTGTGTGTGTGTGTGTGTGTGTGTGTGTGTGTGTGTGTGTGTGTGTGTGTGTGTGTGTGTGTGTGTGTGTGTGTGTGTGTGTGTGTGTGTGTGTGTGTGTGTGTGTGTGTGTGTGTGTGTGTGTGTAGTATTATAGTGATAGTGCAGATTAATGGGTGCACGCAGCTTCGTGTTACCGCTCAAGCTATGCTGCTATGTTTGATAGTGCTGTTGCTGTATGCTCATGCTTTGCTGCTGTCTATGGTCGCGTGCACTGCATGTCACGGTGACCATGACGACTAAACAACATTGTGCATGCATGCGTGGTGCTCTAGGTGACTTGGCACTCTACGTGTCATTGAACGACGCATTCTACGTGTCATTGAACGTGTTACTAAATGTGTGGGTGACGTGCGACGTGGCATTCACCATGGCATTTACATGTGGCGCTCAACTTGGGCGTCGTGTGACGTTCGCTCGACGTTTGCTCGACGTGTCTTGTTAGAACTCGCCTCGCTATATATTTCGATCCGTAATGTGTGTGAATCATTCTTGTCTGCTCGTTGTGTTGTGTATTGTAGTGAATGTGAGTGTGTGTGTGTGTGTGTGTGTGTGTGTGTGTGTGTGTGTGTGTGTGTGTGTGTGTGTGTGTGTGTGTGTGTGTGTGTGCATGTTCATGTTTGTGTTTGTATATGTGTGCATGTGTATGTGTGTGTGTGTATGTGTGTGTGTGTGTGTATATGAGCCGCAATCAGCGAAAATGACCCTTAGAGGTTTTGTAATTTTTTCGAGAAAATGTTCGATTTGTGACGTTCAGCGATTTTTTGATCGCGCTGCAAACAGCGCGACGGGTTCTTCTTGAACTCCTTGGTTGAAGTAATTTATTTTGAAGAAGTGGTGTCGAGTGGCGACTCAAATGTTCCTTGATCTTGTTGCAATAGCTGCGGACGCCAGAGCTGTTCGCAGAGCACACACGGCAGTCATTCTGTACAGCTAGCTCGAGCCTGGTGGGGAGCGGATGCCGAAGTAGCCGCTGAAGTTCAGAGTGAGGATGAGACGTTCTTTGGTTCCAACATCGATGTCGACAGCGAGGCGGAATCGCAGCCGTCATCTCCTGCTACGATGCGGCTCAAGGTGGCCGATGACTTGTCAGAGTCGGAAGATAAGGAGTCGTCACCTGAGATAAATTCTGAGTCTGGGGCTAGTGACGGCAGCGACGTCGTGTCTTCAGCTGTGGAGGAAGAAATGGAAGACGAGATTGTGGAACGACTCCACGCAGGGTGCAGCTGCGAATATGTGGATCATTTCTCCGCACTCATCAGCTATTCTTTGTCATTATAGCTGCTCACTGCACTATTTCAAAGGTATTCAAGTTGCCCACCCACCTTTGAATGCTGAATATTCATTGGACACATACATCGTATACATGCATTGCACCAATTTGAAGTACATCTTGTATTGTGGTGTATACACCCGTTTTGAATCGGAATATTGAACTTTTTCTTGGCTGAGGTCCTTCAGTAGATGTGTTTCAACAAATTTCCAACCAAAAAGGAATTTTGAAACGTTTGACCCTAAGGGCTGATTTCGCTGGTTGAGGCCCATATATGTGTGTGTGTGTGTGTGTGTGTTTGTGCATGCGTTTGTGTGTATGTGTATATGTGCACATTGTGGTTGTGTGTGTCCCTCTGTCCCAGTCTAACTGTTTCTCTGGGTTTTCTCTCGGTTCTTTCTCTCTCCCTCTTTTCCTCCTCCAGCCCAATCCGCAAGTTCCTCTGCTTCCGTTGACGATTCACACACATGTAAGCAGATACAAAAATCTGTTCATCTGGATACTTGATAGGTGTACGTGTGCATTCTAGTGTATGTCTGCGTGTTTTCCATATGATGTATGGTCACACATATATTTATACGAAGTAAAAAGGACCAAGGAACTACAAGTTGCACTATAATGTCCACTAATGCCACAACATCGTGGTTTGACCGTATTGTCCAATGGTCTTGCCAGTATCGTCATCGACATGCATGAACATCTGCCAACGTTCTTCACAGCTGAGACTTTCAGCTCGTGCTTATCTTGGCTGCGCTCACCTTCCCCTCCTTATGTTAATTCTATAACTTAGAACCTTCCAAGTTGGAAGACTGTCTTAGAACCTTCCAAGTTGGAAGACTGTTGGAGTGCGCATCCAAGATGTGCTAGAGCTGTTAGCCAGTTAGTTGTAGAACACCACGCACTAAACGTGTGCTTTTATGTGCATGTGTGTGTTTGTGTGTGTGTGTGTGTGTGTGTGTGTGTGTGTGTGTGTGTGTGTGTGTGTGTGTGTGTGTGTGTGTGTGTGTGTGTGTGTGTGTGTGTGTGTGTGTGTGTGTGTGTGTGTGTGTGTGTGTGTGTGTGTGTGTGTGTGTGTGTAACTGTGCTTGAAGGGGACGGTTGCACTTTTTGTAGCTCCGTTTTTTCTGGGTTTTCAGTCGTTCGTCTTACTAGTCTTAGGCCACGTGGTGGCTCTGGGTCCACCAGAGTCGCCCATGGCGTGTTTCTGAATTTGCTGGGCGAGGGTTCTGCGACGCGGTCGCCAGGGCAGTGTCTTTTCTGTCACGACCGTTGTCGTCCTCGTCTCTCCATTCGCGGTGGTTTAGCTGACCCCCGAAATGGTTTCAAACTGCGAAGCTCGGAGTACAGTGGTGGCAGAGGCATGAGCTGTGAGTGGAGACGGTTGCAGGAGATGGATGGTGATGAAGGGAGAAGAGTTACGCTGCCTGACGACGCGTGGAAAATTGTTTGATCCTGCAATTTCAGTTCGTGTGCGGTGGACTTCTAGACGATGTGTCCTCATGGCTATTTTTCAACGCTTGGCCTATCGCTGATATCCCTGCGTGGAATGTTCTTCCAGTGGAGTTCAGGTGGGACTTCGGGTGCCCACACTCCATCACCTGGTTGATTGTTTCGGAACTGCAATAATACAGGTTCAAATAATTATTGATTCCTTTTTGTCCGTATCTCTTGTCATCTCTCTTTTCTATGCGTCGCACGCCAGATGTTCTACTATCGCTGTCTTTCTCCTGCTATCTCTCTCTGCTTGCTGTTTTGTTTTTGTTGCCACTGCCCCTCATCATACCCATGGCCATGCTTGGGTGGAGGGCGGCGTGACCCGTTAGGGTAGCTGTCAATACAGTACGTGTGTGTGTGTGTGTGTGTATGTGTATATGGTGCAGTGGTATGTGCAGCGATTTCCAATCGATAGGTTGCGGGTTCGATTCCCGACGATTATGGTCACACACGTCTTTCTTCTCTTTCTCAGACTCTTCCTGACTTTTCTTTCATTCTCTTGGGTGGTTACCAACAGCCAGTGCATGCCGGAGTATGTGGTGTGATGTGTGTGCGGGAAAAAAGAAGAAAAAAAAAAAAAAAAAAAGACCAAAAAAATAGGGATTCACTGGCCAGAAAAAAGCCACTTCAAAGCTGTGTGGTGTAGACCAGGCTGAATAGTGGTGGTCAATTCTTCAGCCTTGCAAGCTGTTGAATGGTGCAATCCCAGCACAAGTTGCTATGGCTTCTGCTGTAGCATCGCTATCATCGCCTCTGGCGATGGGCGTCCAATGGTCAATGGTGTGTGTGTGTGTGTGTGTATGTGTATGTGTACATTGTGGTTATGTGTGTTTCTCTGGGTTTTCTCTCGGTTCATTCTCTCTCCCTCTTTTCCTCCTCCAGCCAAATCCGCAAGCTTCTCTGCTTCCGTTGAGGATTCACACACATGTAAGCAAATACAAAAATCTGTTCACCTGGATAAGTTATAGGTGTGTGTGTGCATCCGTGTGCATGTGTGCGTGTTTTGAGTATGATGTATGGTCACACATATATTTATACGAAGTAAAAAGGACCAAGGAACTACAAGTTGCACTATAATGTCCACTAATGCCACAACATCGTGGTTTGACCGTATTGTCCAATGGTCTTGCCAGTATCGTCATCGACATGCATGAACATCCGCCAATGTCCTTCACAGCTAAGACTTTCAGCTCGTGCTTATCTTGGTTGCGCGCACCTTCCCCTCCTTATGTTAATTCTATAACTTAGAACCTTCCAAGTTGGAAGGCTGTTGGAGTGCGCATCCAAGATGTGCTAGAGCTGTTAGCCAGGTAGTTGTAGAACGTCACGCACTAAACGTGTGTTTTTATGTGCATGTATGTGTGTGTGTGTGTGTGTGTGTATGTATGTGTGTGTGTGTATGTGCACATTGTGGTTGTGTGTGTCCCTCTGTCCCAGTCTAACTGTTTCTCTGGGTTTTCTCTCGGCTCTTTCTCTCTCCCTCTTTTCCTCCTCCAGCCCAATCCGCAAGCTCCTCTGCCTCCGTTGAGGATTCGCGCACATGTAAGCAAATACAAAAATCTGTTCACCTGGATAAGTTGTAGGTGTGCGTGTGCATCCGTGTGCATGTGTGCGTGTTTTCAGTATGATGTATGGTCATGTGTGTGTGTGTGGGGGGGGGGGTGCGTGCATGCGTGCGTGCGCGTGCCCGCTTGTGTGTGCACGTGCCCGCTTGTGTGTTTGTGTGCACATGGTTGTACATAGTAGTAGTAGCAGTAGCGTACATGGTGCAAGTTTCTATCTATCTCTATATCTATCTCTATATCTATATCTATACGGGTCACGTGACGTCGGCCATGTTGGTTACAACACCACTCAACCCCTACATGTATGGGTCACATGACGTCGGCCATGTTGGTTCCACTGTCCACATGACGTCGGCCATGTCGGTTCCACTGTCCACATGACGTCGGCCATGTTGGTTCCACTGTCCACATGACATGATCACTTTCTACACAAATTTAGTTGCATGACCCACTGACGCGAAACCAGTCTATTATCATGGACGATTGGCCTGTTTTGTCCTCTCAGACTATCATGAGAAGACCTGCAGCCAGTACCATCTCGCTGCAAGCACTAAACAGGTTACGAGAGAGCAGGCACAAGCGTCGTGTACCGAACGAAACATGGACGTCCTAACCCAAGAGTGGATCGGAGATCTGCAGGATGACGTGTGCTTTTCGGTGAGCCTAGTTTGTTTACAAGCGTTTCGGAGACAGCAACTTTAACATGGCAATCAAGAGTACTAACTGTGTGGTATCCATTCTTCTTCTTCTTTTTACACGTACGTTTCCCATTCACCATTCTCTCGCATGTTTGTTATTATTGTAAAAAAGCATGGTCACCGCACAGTTAGTATGTTTGATTGCCATATCATAGCTTGTTTGTTTACAAGAGAGATTGGAAGCTTTGTCACAACTCTGAGTTTCACGTATTTCTATAAAGTGAGAAACTTTCGCTAGAGATTAAGTTTCGCTATTTTCACGACCATCACACATTCGCGAATATAAATCGCCGTAAGCCTCTCCGCACACTGATTGTAGACCGTACAAGATTCGATTGAAAGTATAGAATCGCAAACGTTTCTCACCGTGAACCAGCCCGATTTATGAAAACGCTAAATTTGCACGCCGCCAAAGTTTGTCGCTTTACAGTGCAGTCTGTATCGGCTACAGAGTGACCGGATATAAAAAAGATATCGGCTACAGTGATATTGGTGCGAAATATCAAAGGCAAACCGTATTTTTATCAAGTAAAAATATCACTATAACCAATATTATCGGATGTAATGATATATCGGATATTATGATGGCAACAAAGAATCAAAACATGAATAACACACTATATTATTATCGGCTATAGTGATAACTTTAAAATACATGTAGCAATAATATCAAAGGCCCTATTTTTTTACTTTCTTCACGTTGCTTATTTTTATAGTGATACAAGTACATGTACATAACAGGATTTGTTTATGGAAATGCGTGCACTGCCAACTATGCAGCATGCTCATTTGTCAAAACGCCATGCTGGAAGTGTTTCCTTGCCTTTCATGTGTCGATCTAAAAAAGAAAAAAAATCGATCGTACCGCATAATTATAGTGATGCATCGGTTATAGTGATAAAACCACGGAAATCAAAAGGGTACAGACTGTACTACGATCAACACGCAACTATAGTTTGTTGGTTTATATTTATTTCACTTCGCCAAAATGAACAGGCACTTTATGCCTTCTCAGCGGCTGTGAGCAAAATCTTCTATCACCGCCTGTCTTTTTCGGGGCCTTTGCATGCATGTGATTTTTCAAATTGTGTGGAGCTTTAGGGCTTGCAAACCGCTACGCTCAACGTCCA